CCAATCAGAGGAAAGCCACATGCTCTAGGTCCTGGGGGGGCTCCTTCCCCATCTTCAGCACCATTCAGTCCACAACCAGAGCAGGAGAGGCAGTGGTGATACATACCTTTAATCCCAGCATTCAGGAGGTAGAGGCAGGTAGATCTCTGTTGAGTTCTAAGACAGCAAGGGCTAGAAACTCTCAAAAAACAAACAAGAATCATCCTCAGCCACTCTTCCACAGTCATCACTGATCCAGAGTCTCTCAATCAAGCCCAGAGCTCACTTACGTGGATTTTTAGCAATCCAGGCTCTTGTCCTCCCATTTGCTCGGCAAGGGCTTTAACCGCCAAACCATCTCCCCAGCCTGGAAGTTGAGTCTTACTATTTATTGTGTGCTCAGTTGAGAATGAACCTTCTACCCATTTTCATTCCTACATTCTTCTGCCCTCCCGCACCTCTTTTCTCTCCTGCCATTTGGGCAGGGTATAGTATGGGAGTTCCCACCTTCCATGCTCCCACCAGCCACAAGTACCAGCTCCTCGGAAGCTCTGGGGTCCCAGAGGCTTCCCGTCTGCAGGCGTATCCCTCTGCCTCCCTCTTGGCAGCCTTCCCATTCTTCCTCCTTCCAGGGTCTGTGGGAATCACTCAACTAGTCATGTTTCCTTCACTGTTCTCTACTTTGAGGGTTTTATGCCATTTGTGGGTTTTGCAATTTTGATTTGGGGGATGGTTGTTTTAGTTTTGGCTTTTTTGTTTGGTTGGTTAGGGTGTGTGTGTGTGTGTGTGTGTGTGTGTGTGTGTTTTGGGGTGGGGGGGTTGGCTCTTTTGAGACAGTATTTCTCTGTGTAGCCTTGGCTGTCCCAGAACTTACTCTGTAGACCAGGCTAACCTTGAACTCAAGACACCTGCCTCTGCCTCCCAAATGCCAGGATTAAAGACCTGTGCCACCAGCACCCAGCCCATTTGATTTCTAGAGTGGCATTTTTTGTGGTGCTTTAGCAGAGAAAGAGTCTCATCTTTGTGAATAGCCTAGCATGTGTAACTGGAAGCCCTGCTGCATCTGCTTAGATGGATGCAGCTAAATTGTGTGTCATGCTCCTAGCTCTTTGGTTAAGTGGCCACACCGAGCCTTTTGTTTATAATTCGGCTACTTTCATAAATACACATGCTTACCTTTGAAGTACTAAGCCAAGTAGAGGTGGCTGTCTCTCCATGAGAGGAACCCCAACCCTAGGCTAGAATCCTTTTTCTTATTATTGTGTGTGAGTGAGTACATGCTGTGTTTATATGGGCAATTATGCCATGGCAGTTGTGTAGAAATCAAAGGAAAAGAGGAGTTGGTTTTCCTCTTCCACGTTTATGTGAGTTTCAGGGATTGAACCCAGGTTCTCCAGGCTTGGGGTAACAAACACTTTACCCATAGCACCATATCTCCAGGCCTGTGCTGAATTCTTGACACCTTTGTTGTGGCTTCCTGTCTCTTGCTTCTCAGTCCTGTGGACCTGCGGTGAGGATGCTGAAGGGAAGAAAGGGGCAGAAAGAGCAACTCACAACTTGTGTTATTAAATGACTAAGCTGGGTGGCTTTGGTTGTTACCCAACCTAGCCTTGCTTTTGTTGCTTCTCTGCTCTCCTCCACACTGCCCAAGACCAGCCAGGTGGAAGACTTCAGCTTTCCTGTGTTTTCATGTCTCCCATTGTTTGCCAATTGAAGAACTCGGCTGAGTAGGAGAGGAACAGAGTGATACTAGGGGCTTTGTCCCCAGCTCCCTGCCGTGCTAGTTCAGCAGTGCCGGAGTTCCCTCCAGCAGCACTCTCCGCAATTCCAGGGGAATGCAGGGTTCCTGGCCACAGCTTCCCACTGTGTTGTTGCTGGCTGTTCGCCTTCCCTTTGGATGTCTCTCAATGCTGCCTACCCTCCCCTCTTTATAAACAGGCCCTTCCTTAAACTCTCCTGTCCCTGGGGTGGAGGGAAGGGGTGTGTCTGCTTCCTGCTGAGACTCTGACCTATACAAAACATTTTCTGATTTGCATCTAACATAAGAATAAACAGTTCTCCAGCTGAGTCTTGTGTACTCATCCTAGGAGCTCTACCTGAGTTTTATAACATAGCCAGGCCACACAGCCTGTGGCTGCTGCTCTCCAAGTCCTAGCTTTTAACTGTACCAGGGACAATGGAGGAGACCTGGTTAATGACATTCTCACTAGAGAATGTAGAGAAGAAAATAAGAAGGTAAATGAAGAGAAACCAGGAGAGAGACTGGAAAGTGACTTTCAGAATTTATGTGGCGTGTTGGGAAATACCAACAGTGCCAATGGGGGATAGGGGGAGCACTAACTTCCTGGAGAGCAAATCCTTGCTGGGTTTACAAGGTAAAGTTGGATGTCTTGGGGGACATCCAGGCAGTGTCCCGTGGGATTCCCCAGGCTTCCTATGAGAAGTCCCTCAAGTAGACCCACCCAGCCTCTATGATGCTGGATCAGTTCTGCTCAGAAGAGGGGGCTTGTCTGTCGCTGGCACGAGGACCTGCTAGGGGCCAGAGAGGCAAGTGCCTTGCCTACCATCACAGCTGACTCTGGAGGAGCAACCCAGCTCCCCTGTTCCCACCTTTGAGTCCAGACTGCCATTTGTCTACACGGACACTCCCTGGATTCTCTCACCACCTTGTCATGGCCTCCCGTCTGCCCTTATTATTTTATTTAATTCACATAGTCCTTTGAATCACACATATCTCTAGAGAAAGAAAAAGTAAATAAAACACAATTGAGAACTCCTTCTTGACATTCAGTTCCTAAAAGCACAAAAAGGAAACATCACAAATAGTGCTTTTTTTTAAGATTTATTTATTTATTATGTATACAACATTCTGCTTCCATATATGCCTGTGTGCCAGAAGAGGGCATCAGATCTCATGACAGATGGTTGTGAGCCACCATATGGTTGCTGGGAATAGAACTCAGGACCTCTTTAAGAACAGCCAGTGCTCTTAACCTCTGAGCCATCTCTCCAGCCCCCACAAATAGTGCTTTTTAATATTTTTAGTTTTTTTAGTTGGAGGGGTGCTCCCATGCAATGCAGTGCCTTTGAGGAGGGGGGTCACAGGACAACCTGTGTGAGTAAGCTCTCTCCTTCTACCATGTAGGTCTCTGGAATCAATCCTGATGACTTAGTGACAGGAGCTTTGTCACAGAGCCATCTCTGCAGCCCTCATAAATGCTTCTTAGAGAGGACAACAGGAGGGCCTAGTGCCAACCTATATCTATGTTTTCTGGTACAGGTAGGTGTGTGCGAGTGGCTGTGGCTTTGGTGTGGAATGACCCATGCCCTGTGAGAACAAAATGGAGCTGTGGTGGTAGTCACATTGGCCATTGTTGCTATGGGCTCTGCAACCTATTATTATGCTTTTAAAGATGTATTTTGTGTGTGTGCGCGTGGAGGGGGGTGATTGTGTGTGTGTGTTTGTGTATCTTGACCCCTGAACCATCTCTCCAGCCCCCATTTACATTTCACAAGCTTTAATTCAAACAGAGCTCAAATAAAACAAGTTTTTCAAAGTCTACTGAAGTCTGGCTTTGGTGGTAGCTGCTACAGAGGTGGGTTAAGCCCCAAATGTCAAAACAAGAAGCAACAGTAAATTAAGGTATGCTTTACTTTCAAAAGAGAGAAGCTGGAGATGCTATTTGATCAATTATTCTCCTACCTCACCTGGAAA